TGTTGGGCTGAGGGAGGCGGTCGTTCCCCTGGGCAGCGGGCAGGCTGTAGTGGGGTGAGCTGTGGGCTCCTGGCTCCGGGAGGACACGAACTTACAGGAGGAGAGCCACAACGGTGATGGAGGGATTGGAGCGTGTGACATGAGAGGGGAGGCAGAGGGCGGTGGGACTGTGCGCCCTGGAGGGGTCCCAAGAGAATCTTGTCGCAGTGTGTAAACGCCTGACAGGGAGGTGTAGAGAGAGAAGAGCCAGACTCTTCTTGGTAGAGCCTCCTCATGGGTCAAGAGGCAACGGGCAAAGCTGAAATACGGGAACGTCACCTTAAACATGGGGAGAAACCTTTCCTGCTGCGGCGTGCTCAGGTTCTGGAACAAGCAGTCAGACAGGTTGTGGAGTCTTCAAGCGGGCTGGACGAGGGCCTGAGAAGCCCGTTGTAAGTGAGCCCGTGGTAAGCAGCGGGTGGGACTAGAAGGTCTCCAGAGGTCTCTCCCAGCCTCGGCCACGCTCTGGCTCTGCCATCGTGCCCGTGGGGTCTGGGCAGCGTGGACCTTCCCATTCACCCATCGCAGAGGGGAGCTTGGTGGGTCTGAATTTGGCCAGTTTCTTTAAAATTGGTCACTATGTTGTGGTATGCTGTGGTTTGCAAAGCTATTCCAGAGCCAAGACTCATTTAGCAAACTGCTTCTTAATCATTTGACTATTACAGTAATAGGTGACCATATACAATATGTATATGTATATTAATATGTTGACAGTAGTATGTGAAATAAAAGGGTAGAAAATGCTGTGAAAGAAAATCAGCGGGTAATGAGAAACTGTCTGTTGACTTTGTTCATTTGTCAAGGTCCAGATATTCAAATATCTGGTTCTTAACTAGCCCATCTGTTCTAGAGAGTGAAGAGTTGTTGGAATCATTGCTAATTGCTCTTAAAATTGGATTAATTTGCTACAAAATTTGCTTGTCAACTTTGAATGCAGACTAACTGACTTTAAACAGTGGAAAAATAGGGAAAAGCCCAAACAAGCAAATCCTACAAAACAGAGGAATCCTCCTCTTTGCTATCAGATTTTCCCAGCTGAATTTACAGCTGGAAATGATATGTTCCATTACTGAAATGTTTGTGTCTGGTTCCCTTCAGTGGTTTGGTGTTTTCAGTTGCAAGTAGTTTTATGGTAACCAACAGGAATAAATCAAGTTTCAGTTACTGCGGAAAACTCAGATCTGAAGTGTGTGGCTTATCTATGGGTGGGCAAGGTTGAATGTTTGTACAGTTGATGTTAGTCAAGGATTGTTCTGTTCCATATCTGACCGGCTGGCCTAAAATCTGTAGGCATATTTCTGAGAAGGATATTGAAGACGTATCTGAATGGTTGCACAGCAGAAGAAGGAGGTTCCCAAGATCTTGCTGTATATTTTTCCTATGTCCTTTTTTTCCTCCTTTATCTTTTAAAAATTCAAATACTTATTCATGTTAGATTTTTACTTTTTTTTGGACTATTTCATTTGAAAGAATTCATCTGTGTTTACTATTAGTTAACATTATTATTTTTATAGCAAGGTTAGTTTTTTGGTTTGTGCTGCCGCCTGAGATTCCTCCGTGTAAGAAACATTTATTTTGATTCTGTTGTGATAGATGAGACAGAAGGATATGCTTCCAGTTAAAATTAACTTTTGTCACCTAGGCACGGAAGGTCCTGGTGTCAGTGTCTCAGAGGAGAGACAGAGTCCTGCTGAGAGTAGTGGTGTAACTGTCATCTATAATCCCTATGCTTCCCTTTCTATTGAACAACAAAGACAAAAGCTGCCTGTTTTTAAGGTACAGAATTTCTTTTTGGTATATTAAATATGATGTCTGGCTCATGTTAGGGTTTTTTTTTTTTTTGAAAAAGCAGTGTAGAATTGCTTTACAAAATAAAATAATAATTTTACGACCTTGCTTTTATTATTTATTGGGATTGATTGTCCTGTTTGACAACTATTACTGATAGTTTTACAGGTTTTGTATATTTATGTTATTTACCGTGTTTTACGTGTCATTTATAGGTTTTAATGAATTGCTTCAATTGTGGCGGTAAAATCCATGTAAAATGAATTTACTGTGTCTGCTAGATATGTGAATGTTGTAATTTTAATTATTTTCTAATTTTTGTACGTATCTGGTTTTGATACTTAAGTATCATCTTCTCTTTCAGCTACGAAATCACATACTTTATCTGGTGGAGAACTATCAGACTTTGGTGATTGTTGGGGAAACAGGTTGTGGGAAATCAACACAGATTCCACAAGTAAGTGTCTGTTTAACTTGGTAAGATCAGGTATTCTCTCAGGGGATTTCACTTGAAATGTTAAACTAGCAATGAAGAACTGCACTGTGAGAACAGAATTCACCTATGCTTGTGCATGTGACCAGAGGAGAGAAATATAAGGGAGAACCAGCAGGAGTTGGTCTATCTGTAATATAAAACCTTCTTCCCCTATAGGAAAGGAGCGTATGCAATGGATGAGTTTGTGCTGGTACAAATAGTGGTCATTGTGCTCTAGTAGATATTTATTACTCTGTCAGAATCATGTTTAAAATTTCATTGAGAGTATATTTAAGGAGGAAAAAAAGATGCACTTCTTAGGGCTTTCTTTTTGGAAATCTTTGAGACTCAAAAAACTGCTTTCTGAGGGCATGTGTGCTTAGGAAGGAGGTGTTGCCGTCTTACTTTTAATGCACAAAATCTCTGAGTAACTGATTTGCCTAAGGTCATGCATCAGTTAGCGTCAGAACTAGGAAGACACATGTAGTGCAGGGAACTAACGCCTTGCTGTAAGCACAGCATGACCAGTTCATTCTTATCCTCGCTCGTTGTTCGCAGTACCTAGCAGAAGCTGGCTGGACGGCCGAAGGAAGAGTTGTTGGAGTGACGCAGCCTCGTCGGGTCGCTGCTGTTTCAGTGAGTTGCACAGTCTCCAGTTTTTGCAGTTTGTTGTCATGATAACCTCCAGTTCGTTAGCAGGTTTTGCTGAATCAAAACTTCCCGAGCTCCTATATGAATAGACTTTTCTGCTCATCTTCCTCACTTTGTTGCTGGCACCATACGCTGAATTCAACCTGATTAGTAGGTCTTGCCAAAGACACGAAGTTCAGAATTGCAGATGTAGAAGCTTTGAAATAAAATTTGAGTGGTATCAGCAGAACCACTCACGGAAGTCAGGGCTGGGCAGAGATGAGCTGGGATTGACTCTAGACTAAAACTGTGCTTGTGTGACCTTTAATTTCTTTCATGAAGGAAAGCAGTGGTGTAACTCTGTGTACAGTAACGTGGCCAGTGGAAGAAAGAGGAGGTTATATACATCTTTCTAGCAGTTCATACCTATTTTTTTTAATCTGTTTTCTGTGCTGGTTTTCTTTTTTTTCCCGTCGTTGTGGGTTTTTTTGTTTTGTTTCCCCTTGTGAGAGTGTTGGGGAAAAGAAGAAACATTTTTATAGTAAGAAATCTTTTCGTAGATGTAGTATGTCTAGAAGAGTGTGACATCAGCTCTATGTACTATGAGAGGAAGAAGAGGGTATGCTGAGGACAACAACTTGTGCTCTCTGGTTATAGTCTGCACAGAAAGCATCCAGTTATATCTTCGTAAGTGCTGCCAAACACTGACTTGGTGGGCTGAAGTTTCTGCTCCAGTGTTGTTCTTGTACAGAAAACTGAGGTGCTGTTTGATAACTCAGACTTGAGCTGTTCTTTATAGTGTATTAAACAGTACCTGCAAAAAATGAGCTTATGTGTCTGTTGAAAAGGCAGTACACTGAGCAGCTGTGCACCTTGCTGCTTCACCTCATCCAGTCTTCTTTGATCAGGTCCGATGTGGTTAAAGAAACAGTCCCTAGCAGTGATCTGCATCTTATGCTTTGGGCAGTCTTCCTGCAGTGTCCTCCCTTTTCTCCTTCCTAGGACATCCAGCTGACAGTGCAGGATTCTACAGGAGATGCTGTGTATACTGCAATGGTTTCTCACGACAAACTTGCTTCTCTTTTCCCTTCGATGTCTTAACACGTTATTTCTAAGCCTAAAATAGATAACTCAGTCAGGGCTTAGTGCAGAGAGACAGTAGGGTTTTTTTCTTCAAGAATGTTGTTGCAAACTGCCTGGGCTCTATGGCTGTTGCAGGGAGATGAGAGAGATAGTTGATGATTTATTGCTCTGTCTTGAACTGGAATTGATCTTTTAGTTTAATAGGCACGCTTATCTGCTTTCCCATCTAGAGTATGGGGGTTGTCAGAAGTCAAAAAAGGGGTTTAGAAATAAAGGGAGGTTATCATTCTAAGAGGATGATTGATTTGCAGAGGCATAGGGCATAGTTTAGAAATTCCTGAACCTCTATTTGCGTTACCCAGACTGACAATTACCCTGAATGCCTGGGCTGAAAGTGATGGAGTGATAAGATTCCAAGTGGAATCATGAATTTGCTGCCTGTAGATATCATTTAGAGTGTCACTCAAATAACTGAAAGTAGCTTGCTCTTGGAATTCTACTAAGACTGATGTATGTATTGTGGAGGTTTTCTATGTCTTTAGCTATTAAATGTCTTTGTAGCTTGGTGAAACCACAGCCTAATAATTCTGAATGGCTCAAGATTTTTAATCAAAGGTGTTACAGGCTTAAAACTGGGCCAGGCTTGAATTGTTCCAAAAAGTGTGGCTTCTTTTAATTATTCTGCCAGTTTTCTGTTTTCCTCATAGAAGAATCCGTATTGCGAAAAGTACAGTAGTGTCTTGTCTGAGTAAGTTCAGAGCCAGATCAGCTTAACTGATAACTTTTTTTCCTGCATGCCACATACCTGAACTGTTTCCCTTTTTGCATGCCAACTCTGTTCTTAAACTGTGCTCGCACAACTGCTGGTAGGTGCTCCCTGCCCACGCTGTGACTGGTGGAGTGCTGTCAGAGTACCTATCTCAGAAAGGCACCTCTGTAGTTTTCCTGAGGAGAAGCAGTGTGAAACAGATCTATTAAGTTACACTAAAACGTCTTAAGTGTGTTTAGTATGCACTGTTATGCCAGCCAGAATTTTGCATTTGAGTGACAACAAATAATTCTTCAGAAGTGCGAGCTCTGTTCCCGTTTTGATGCCGATTCTCTACAGACAAAACAATGAAACAATGAAGAAATATGCTGTCACCTGTCTCTCCTTTACAAGAATCTCTTTTCTCAGGTTGCAGGCCGAGTTGCTGATGAAAGAGGTGCGGTGTTGGGGCATGAGGTTGGCTATTGTATTCGGTTTGATGACTGCACAGATCCACAGGCTACAAGAATTAAGGTGAGACATGAACAACATGTGGCTTCTCTGAAGGGGTTAGCTGAAACTCTTCAAATACTTTGGCACCCTTAATGAGAACCCTGTGATCCCCTGTAAAGGAAATAGCTATCCAAACCTTAATGAAACAAGTACATATTCTATTCCTCTAGTCTGGTAGCCAGCATTTTAAAAGTAAAAGCGATTTTTGAGGTGGGAGTGGCCAGGTGTTGGTACAGTGCTGGGGTGACCTGAAACATCCCTAAAAGTCATTGTGAAAGGCTGCAGTGAATCACAGCTAAAGTGCCCTCACCACCCTAAAAATAGATCTTGAATAAAAGTGCAGATAAATATCAGATGAGGAGGCTGACTGCAAGGGATGTGATGTGGATTTAATGACAAGCTTTGCAGCTGTTCGTTAGTGCTGTGAGCGATATTAGTGTTGCTTGTGTTGGTACAGATGAGGGGTTGCTTTAGTTATGCTGGAATAGCAATGATGATGAATGAGACAATTTACTGTATTTTTTTTTTTCCTGAAGCTACTAGCGCTTTTAAGGTGAAAGAAATGGAGATGTTTCTCCATTAAATGCAGCTGAATTTGGGTTTTTTTGAGTGTGATAATTATTTGGAGTTGAAATGTGGAGGTGTTTACCTTGCACACCAGGTCTTGCCTAGTACAAGGGCATGGTTGGAGTCCCAGATGAAACTACTGCTTGATGGTTTCCACAGGCTGGTAGCAAGAAAGTATTAAATTAAAATGTTGCATGTTTTTGAAATGTTAAGGTTTGTGTTTTGGTCAGAGGTGTGTGTTAGATGTTGAATAACCTACTTTGAGAGAGTCAAAACGGAATTGACACAGAGGATGTTATTGCTAGACCAGATTTAGGCTTGTTATAGACAAGAGTGAAGTAATTGCTGTTGGCATATTCCAGTGCTACGAGTCTGTTTGAATTTTTCTGATACAAAAAATAACTAATTTTTAAAAATTCAGTACTGGGCTAGCACTCAGAAATATGTGTTTACTTTTCATAGCTGAAAATTCATCAATTTAGTAGATATTATAAAAGTAAAGGCAAGGAAAAAAATTCAAACAAAAGTAAAAAAATCTTTAAATATCATGTAGGTAGTCAAGACTATCTGTTAGGTTTTTTTTTTTTACTTTTTTCTTTGCATTCACTTTTAGTTTCTAACTGATGGTATGCTGGTGAGGGAGATGATGTCAGATCCTTTGTTAACAAGATACAGGTAAGGAAACTTGGACTGAATGCTTGCTGAAATGTAATTTGAACAATTGCATATTTATTTATTTATTTTAGAGCAAGATGTGGTTATTATAAATTAAATACCAAAAGATGTGAAAATTATTTCAGGAGTTTGACTTCTTTATGTTACTGACTGTTAGAAAATCAGTTGATCATCGCAACACCAAACCTGGCAGGATTTGGTGCTGTGGTTTTGGAGCAAAAGTTCAATGGGCCTCATGGAGTCTGAATTGTTCCATTGACTAGTTTCAAATTCACTTTTTCTTTCTGATGCTATTTAAATTAAAAAAAAAAACCAACACAGGCTATTATGGCATCCAGAAAACCTATGCAGTACAGGGAAGATAGACCTTTTAAATTCCAGCTCTTTCCAAAAGGCAGCATGAATAGAAAAGAGTTTGCATGTACTATGTGGTGTTATCTATGTTTTTCTCTCTGCTTCGTTGCTGTGCTTTTTTTAACTTCCACAGTTTTCTAAGCGGATGTAAACAGTAATGCTATTTCTAGAAGACGGAAGGACAGTGATTCTAGTGTCAGTCAAACCATTTCTGAAATCTTATCTTTCTGCTTTGTTCACAGTGTCCTCATGCTGGATGAAGCCCATGAAAGGACGCTTTATACAGACATTGCCATTGGCTTGCTAAAAAAGGTGTGAGTTTGGGGGTTTTTTTTTAATATTCTTTGTAACTGTTTTCATTTTTGTCCTTTTTGTTAAGATGGCTTTAGCCTTATATCTCAGAAAATAGCTTTTACTCTGGATGTTCTTGGTCTCTGTCCTAGGTTCAAAAGAAGCGTGGGGATCTTCGACTGATTGTGGCTTCAGCCACCCTGGATGCAGAGGTATAGCTCACAAATTTGATTTGAAATGAAATGACCTTAAGTGGCAGCTCTACGTCTATTTTTATATAGCTTATTTTCTGTGCTGCTTGCTTCATGTGAAGTGTTACTGCTGTGAGTGTACGTTCTATTAGGTAACAGTACTTGGCCTTTGCAAACGTTTAACTACTAGAAATCACCCATTTCAAATAGTTTCCAGTTAATGTGCAAGTAAGTTAACAGGAGCAAAACTCCTAGTTTGTGACTGTATAAATATTTGTTTAAATATAGAAAGTTTGTGGTGTCTATAATGGTCATGAAAGTTGAGATGGACTATTTGGATTCTTAATGCTCATTCTTTTACTATTATTATTTAAAATACTGCCTGACAATACAGCTACATTTATTAAGGAGTCTCACAGTGCATATATCAAAAACTTAGATAAATCAGCCTAACTCTGCTTTTACAAAGTGAGAACTTGGTGTTCAGTAAGAGCTGTAAAATTTACTTGCTCATCCAAAAATGGATGAGAATATGCAAGCCCTACCTAAAACTTTTAGGACCAATCATTTCCAAGATCTTCTTAGCTTTGACGTTACTACTGTTACAGATTCAATTAAAAGTCCATGTATCTGCTTTTTGCAACTGTATCATGTGATTAATTTTATTACACCTTTTTGATCTTTTCTCCTCAGAGTAATAAACATGTAAGACAGTGTATTTGTGCTAAATGTCTGAACCCCAGACAGAACGGAAGGCAACAAAAACAAACTGAATTTTTTTTGAATTGGCACTGTCATTTAAATTCTTCATGTCTTTAGGTTTCTCCCTCAATTCTTTGAAGTATCAAACTGAAAACATTTATTTCTATTTTCATGTAGAAATTCAGGGATTTCTTTAATCAAAATGATACCGGTGACCCCAGCAAAGATACCAGTGTGATCCTTACTGTTGAGGGGAGAACGTTTCCAGTGGACATCTTCTACTTACAGAGGTGTGTTCCTGTTTGACCTTGTCAGTGGTGATTTAAGAGATTGTGCAACTGCGGTATCGTTTTGTCTAGGTTAGGGCTCAGAAATTCCCCAATCGATGGTAAGGAGATGTAACATTCAATTTGGGAAAACTTTGGATGTTGCTTATGGCAGCAGATGTGTTTTTAAGCTTGCTGTAGTGTAAAGGAAAGAAATTAATTGCTGAAGGCTGGTTCCCAAGGATGTGTCATGAACTAAATGTGGTAAAGCTGATGTGAGTGTCCAAAAGCGAGCTCTTTTTACCTTGTGAAAGTGAGGAGTTTGTACTGATTTTCCTGCTAATCTCTGCTGTTTTCTCTCCCGGTAGTCCTGTTCCAGACTATATAAAATCAACTGTGGAAACTGCAATGAAAATTCACCAGATGGAGAATGATGGCGATATACTGGCATTTTTAACTGGCCAGGTATAGACAGAAGCTTTTTGTTTCCTATTTTGTGGTTTGGGGTTTTTTTTTTGCTCTACAGTGCTGTACTGTGGGCTTTGTGAAGCTGTCTCAGTCTCCTGCTTTCCTTATCTGTGCTTACTTTAATCTCATTAAAGATGACAAATATTTCTGCATTGATGGGAGCAGAATTAGGCCAGTCTTGAAAGACTTTTAGAAAACATAATTATGGTCTGGATCTGTGAAAGCTGGTTACAAATGGTGGTTTTTCTATTCTAATGCCATATGCTCTCAGCTTTGCAAGTAAGTGGAACAGTATGTGGGCTTTTGGTGCTGATCACACCTATGGAACTGACATCGAGCCATCGCTAATGGTTAAGACAAATGGAATTTAAATTTGTTAGCCCAAACATCTGAAGTCTTTGACAGACAAATTGCTTTGAGACAAAAATATACTAGTCTCTTTTACTCTTTTTATGCCCGTTAGCTCACTTTGCAGCAAAGAAGAGTAAATGGGAGGCAGCTGATAACTTTTCCAGTGAGGGGCTACCTTGAAGAGCTTCAATAACATCTTGCATATTTTCAGAATAAATTCTTCATCGTCAGTATTGATTTAATTTTGAAAGAATGAATCGGTTATCTGACAAGGCAATTTCTGGACATGTTGATGCTTTTTATGAGTAAGATGCCACATTTGATCTCTGAGATTAAATGTGATGTTGAGCAATAAGTGTTTATATTGTTTTTGTGTCACTCCTGATCAAGACCCACAGTCAAAATATGTTTCCCTTCCATTTTGCTCTGAGATACACAGGAAAATACACCCGCTTCCTCCTGAACTTTGTTCAGTCCTTGCCTTGTGATTTTTCTCCTGTATTCGTGACATTGTCTCAAGTAACAATGACGATAGTATATTTACATGTTTATTTATTATGAATAGCGATTTATGTCAGAATATTACAAAATTCAGGGAGCTAGTCAAAAGACCCTGCAGTCTGAAGAACTAAAATTCTATTAGGATTAGTTTGGTGCCTTTTTTTTTTTTTTTTCTTTTGTAGTTAGGTAACAGCTCTGTGATATTAAAGTGAAACCTCTCCTGTTCTGTCCCCTATCTTGCCATGGCTCTAGGAGGAAGTGGAGACAGTTGTTTCTATGCTCATAGAACAGGCTCGGGCCCTTTCTCGCACTGGAATGAGAAAGCACCTCCGTGTGCTCCCCATGTACGCCGGACTGCCTTCTTCTGACCAAATGAAAGTGTTTGAGAGAGTTTCTCGCAGTGTGAGGAAGGTAAGGCTCCTGTGCACGTCTCCGTTTCTACCAGCCAGCAGGGTCTCTGCGTTACACAACTTGTGTAGAACAGGTTCCCATCATGAGATTACTGCAAATGCTTCCTGAGGGAGAATTTCTGCATCTCCCAGAGTTTTCAGACTGTGAACCAAGAGCATGTTCTCTGGCTTCCCTTTTTATCTTTGATCAGTGCTAGAAGTGTCTACCTAGACGTTGTCTACTTCATTAACTTCTCAGTTTTTAAGGGTCTTTGTACAGCTATGTTTTGACCTAAGAAACAAGTTAAAACTTGGTTGGTTTTAGTAGAAAAAGCTTTGTTTTGAATTCTGCAAGTCTTGTTTGGATATTTAACATCACAGAATTATAATCGTGACAATTTACAGTGCTTTCTGCTTAGTCACAGCCTGTACTGGGGCTGAGATAAGCTGACAGAATTACACAGGGGTGCCTCGTTATAACTCTTGTGCCTGCTGGAGTCTAACAAATAAAATTGTTCATCTGGTGTTCGAGAATGTTGAATATAAATACTTCTTTTCAGGGTATGACATTAGTCAATTACCTTCCAAGATTTACTTTTTTAGTTGCAGATCTTCTGGGAACAGTTTTTTTTAGTATTTTAGGACACGTATACAAGCATATCTCTGCAGCAATACTGAACGTGGAATGCTTAATCAGCTCTGTTCCTCTTCTACCTCCTGCCCAATTCCAGTGTTAAAAGTAACAGTTCAATATAACTGAGAAGCAGAAAGAAAATATTTTTAGTTCACTACATAAGAACATTTGATTTAAAGTCAGTTAATGTTTTTCTCTGCAAACACTGCCAATGGTTTTCTCTGCAAACACTGCCAACTTGTACTTTTATGAAGTGAGAATAAATTTGAATAAGAAGGTGACTGTGAAACGTTAAGAACTGGGCTTATTTCAAGCTGACAAGCTCTTTCTACTGCATGTACTGTCTCCTTTTGTGCTCTGGAGCATGTTTACTGGAAGTGTCGTATCTGAGATCTTCCCAGTGACTTGTACTGGAGTTCTGGTGCACTGATTCTAGGGCTTGATGGTGTAATTGAGACTGGGGATTTCACAGTATCCTCATTATGTCTGTACCTGTAGGTGATCGTAGCCACCAACATTGCTGAGACTTCCATCACAATTCACGGAATTGCATTTGTAATTGATTGTGGATTTGTGAAGCTTCGGGCCTATAACCCCAAAACAGCCATCGAATGTCTTGTGGTGGTACCGGTATCTAAAGCTTCAGCTAATCAGAGAGCAGGACGTGCGGGACGTAACCGCTCTGGAAAATGCTACAGACTTTATACAGGTCAGTACTTTGATGTGTAAGGAAGGTGAACGTGCTGATGTGAATTGCATTTTGTTTTATGTGGCTTTAGTATTCAATAGAGGAAAAAAATGGCTTTTTTTTTTTTCTCTTGGTGAGAAATAGAAATTTCCCTTTATTATTCCTCTGGCTTATTTAGGAATGCATTGCTCATGTGAGCTAAGCATTGGACACTGAATCCTCCTGTGAAACAAAAACACAAACTGAACAGGGTAGGTGCGATGAGATCATCTGCAATTGCAAAGCTGTGATGTTAAGGCAACTCTGCCAGGTCTGCTAAGAAGTTTATCTTTTTATCATCTTGGTTTCTGAGCATTGCTTCCATTTATGATACCCACCTGTGTTGTTCTCCTCTGTGACTGAAGTTTCCTTTGAGCTGTGCATCTAAAAATCTTTTAGAGGGAAAACTTTGTGTCCTCTTTTCCACAGGAATAGGTGCCAACCCTAAATGCTTCTTGTGAATCGGTGACCTTGGCACTGTGCAAAAATTAGTGTTGCAAATAAATCATTTGGGCACCAGCAGTGCTCAGAAAACCACAGTCCAGCTGCCTCTGCTCTCAGCTATTCAATGAGTGAAGGCATTGCCACTGAGCACCACCATTGCTTCTGTGCCTCAGGCTCCGACTGGTTTTACTGGAGCTTTGCGATTTAGAGAGATCAAGCATATTCTTTTAAAACGTGGTTGTGTTTGCCAGCAGTTGCCGCATTAAACAGAGATGTGATTTATTCTGTAAATCTGTGTGTCCAATAAGAACTGGGAGAGAATGCCTGCTGCGTACTGCACCAAGCTTGCATAGCTCTGGAAGTATTTTACTGGAGAAGCCATGACTACACTGAAGTTGTTTTCGTGTGCTCAGGAGCTGGCCTCATGAGTGCTTTAAGAAACCTTTAAAGGTGGAGAGGGGAAGAAGAAAGTGCACTGAGTGGACAAAAATAGATAAAATGAATACCATCGTTGTCTTAGGGAAGGTCTGAGATAGAGAGTTCTGGCTAGAAATGAAAACAATTCTGGTCAAAATAATGTATTTCTTGCCTCGATTTGGAATTTTAGGCCAACGCAGGGATGCATGTGCCTTTTTCTGTACTGCAGAAAATGTTAGTTAATGAAAGGTGCAGGGATTTTGACCTTTTATGAAGTATTTCTCCAGACACAGATTTTTATAGGGAATGTGCTTTTAAAAAGGCATTGTTAAATAAATTGGTTTTCAGTCCTTAGACTTCCTTTTAAATATGCTTTTTAAACATCCTTTTGTTTGAGTAGTTGCTAAAAATACTGTTCTTGTACTGAAAGCATGCTGGTTTTGAACTTTTCCATGTGCCTTCTTTAAAAAAAATACTTTTTATTTTCTGATAAAAATGTTAAACAGAAGAGAAATAAAACATTTCCAGATTTCTCTGAAGAATTTATAACATTTCAGCTTGAAATATGGGTGGGTCAACTACAGATTTCGCAGTGTAGCCAAAACCATTGAGCTTTCCGTTGAACTTATCTTAAAATACAGTAATTAGAGAAAAATCACCTTTGAGTTAGACTTCTTTGAACACAAACAATAGCTTTCATTGAAAGTGGGTATGTTTCTATCATGTTGACTGCACAGAGTGGAAGTTGAAACTCAGTCCCACGTTGCTTTGGTTTCTCCCCCAACAGAGGAGGACTTTGAGAAGCTGCCGAAGTCAACTGTTCCCGAGATGCAGCGCAGTAACCTTGCCCCCGTCATCCTGCAGCTGAAGGCTTTGGGAATTGACAACGTGCTCAGGTTCCCCTTTCTCTCAGTGAGTCCTGGGCTGTAAAGTCCGTCACCTTTTCTTGGCGTAATGAGGAGCAGTAGATGACTTGTTGATAACCCCCAGAACCGTTCACCAGTAACCGTTGCCCTGTTGATTTGGAAAGCACAACTCAGTTCACTCCTGGGCAGCAAAGTGTGTGTTTTGGAATCACCTGGTGAGAGTCATTGTGAGACAAGTTAGAAACGACTGCTTGTGTTCTAGAGTTTGCTTTAGAAGTGGTGAGAAGCCAAGAAAGGCCTAGAAAGACAAACTCTGAGATTCTGCAAAACTGTAACTGTAACTTCCTCCTACAAGAGGAAGAAAAAGGAAAAAAAAATCCACATTGTATCTACAGAACTAAACCTGTGCTTGTCTGCCTTGTTGACAAGAGCAGTAGTGATTTTTCCATTTGCTTTGCATGAAGTTTCTAGCTACTCTTGTACTGATGTGAAAAACTAACGGGAGAGCATTAGAAGAGGTTAAGTAATTGTTCTGGTCCCTGCTGGCATCGCGGTTGGACAAAGCAAACACGCCTTTTCTCACTCAGATCCAGAGAGCATCTTAGTGGTGGTGCTGAGCCTGTTGAGGTGGTTTTGCCTCGCAGCGCTGGTGGTCAGTGGAAGGGTGACGGAAAGAGTCTCAGAGCTTTTTCTTCATTTTGCAGAAGTAGAAACTTAGGTAGATATAACTTCAGGATTTTGTGAGTGAGGAAAACCTAAGAATTTTTGTAGAAACTCATGTGTTCTATGATGATAATTTTAAACAATGCTTTTTTTTTTTTTACAGCCACCTCCGGCACAGTCAATGGTGCAAGCTCTAGAGTTGCTCTATGCTTTAGGAGGTGAGATTATGCTGCTTTGCTTTGTTTACAGTTATGTTACAGAAATTATGGAAAAAGAAAATTGTCAGTTTGGATTTGATGGTTGGGTGGATGTTAATCAAACTTGTGTTTGAGAGCTGTGCTTCGAGAAAGAGAAAATGTAGCCTTGGCTGGTGGAAACTTTTTGTTGGTGTGTCTGAAGTGTACATCAGCCTCCTCTGAATGTACCTCAGTCACTCACAAAAGCAGTAAATTTGTCCTCAGTGTCTATGTGTCGGTGCACAGCCTGCTCGCTTTTTGTGCTTTCAAATGCACAGAGACCGTTGGGTTGCAACTCACAGTGACCCTGCTCCAGTTCTAGTATTGAACTTTCTGGTTATGGGCAAACGAGTAGAAACAAGCAAACTTCTAATGAAAGAAGAAAAAGCTGGTCTAACAGACCCTCAGAGCATAATTCAAAGTACTTTTCTCCTATTTAGCTGCCTAATAGAATATCAGTATTTTATTGCATTCTCTGAATTACTAAACACAGCTTGTTCTCAAATTCAGTCGAGAGTTTGAACAACCTTCTTAGTCATCTGGTTTAGTTTTAGGTCATCCTGAGAGGAGCAAGAAGTTAGTCTCGATGATTCTTATGGGTGGGTTCCTTCCAGCTTGAGATACTCTGTGATTCTAAATTTGATCGTTTTGGTTTTATTCATTATGCTGCTCTTGGATACTTATAACAGTGGAATCACACTAGTAATATTTTATACATGGTTTTAAATTCCTTTTTTTTGTGGTGAGTGAAGTGTATGCTGTCTAATTTTGTTTATAGGAAGAACTGGTACATTTGGGGTTTTTTTTGACAGCTATTTAATCTTTTTGAATGCAACAGAACTAAACAAAACAGAAACACAAGAACAAGTAATCAAAATGAAACTGTGTTTGACTTTAACTTGGTGTTTGTAGTTAATTCAAAGTTAACAATATTTGCTCCATAATATAAACAGGATGAAAAGGGTAGTGTAAAGGAGATTGTGTAAGCCTTAAAGGCTTCCAGAGGTTTGTGGCTGTTTTTACATTGCTCACAAATGCTGTGTTGTAACTTGTGGTAGTCTGCTCTCTCCTTATTCTCATGGAGCTGTAACTGCTCGGCCATGGTTTTGCGCTGCACTGATTCAGTTCCATCTTGCAAAAGAGGATTTCACTTAGGGCACTGGGTGTGTGGCAACCTGGTCAAGCTCAGAACAAGGACCTTCACAGCGACTCAGAAGTGCATTGCAAGGACGAATTCACAGCCAAAACCACCTTAGGGAAACGGAGAGGAAAGGTCAATAAACTCACTGATTAGCTGTCTGATGTTTTGGCAAAAGTCTTATGCTTGTGGTATCTTCACAGAAAAGTACAGAGCTGTTTTTTCTCTTGGCTGCCCAGCTTTTGCAGCAAAGCAGAGAAGTGCTGATGCTCATGTTTCAGATGGAAAGAAGTGTGTGTGCATGTGTGTGATATACAGATCCGCTCTTCAGTTTTTGCTGAAGTTTAAGGTTTTAGGTGGTTTATTCTGAAGATTTTATACAAGTTGCAGGGCTGAAGCTGCCCAAGCGTTTGCAGGTGCAGGAAGGATTAAATTTCTCTTATGCAAGTATGAATGTGTATTTCATCATTTGCACTGTAATAGCACACAAATGTGCAGTGTGGGGTCAGGACCCTATTGTGCCTGCACGGTATCAACAGAGAAACTTGTGCAGACTAGACGCTCCTAAGGTTGAGATAGTTCTGTTGAATAAACACCGTCGCTGGGTTTAGACTGACTATTTTTACAGTTGTGCAAACTGATTACATCAGGAGTATCTCTTCTCAGCCTTCTCCTCGGATGCCCCTTTGAAAGTCTGAGTTGTCAGTTGGAGTTTCTTGTCTTTAAACAAGTAAAAAGTGGCTTTGCTTTTAGCTTTATTTCAGATCTAAGATTTTGCTGAGGATTTAAGTTGTTGCCTGTCAGAAACAACCACTCCACCTAAGTTTAAAACAGTGTTTTAACCTCTCAGCCTGTTAGTGGTCATTACTTAAAACTTTTTAGTGCTACAGTATTTGAATAATCTCTCTGGAGTAAGTTCAGTAAAAATCCCTTTGGTATCTTTTTCTAAGATTTCCAGTTTCCAAGAAGATTTCAAGGAAACTTTTACCTGTTCCAAACGGGTATCCATTGCAAACCTTTTGTGCCTATTCAGGTTTACTGCTACAAAGACATCTGTGCACAAGCTGTAGATATATACATGCAAGATTGCACTAAGTCTTGTAGAATTCAGCAGAAGCTGAAGGATTTTAGCTTCACGCACCTGTAGAAAGTTCAGAAGATGGTAATTTCTCCTTTTCCTACTTAGGAACACAATTGTCTTTCTGTAGATGAAGGACAGCATATTCTAAGCTCTTAATTGTGGTAGCCCTTAAACTCCTCGTGTTACACTGGTCAAATGAAAGCTGCCATACCTTAATTTCTGCAGTTTCTCTGCCTTTAAGTATGTTATTTCATCATTTCACATAAACAGCCATTTTCACCTCTTATTGAGGAAAATATTGTGACTTTATGTGAATTAGGTTTTGCCGAGCAGTGTAGGAGTGTGGCGAGTGAATGACAACGTTGTAATAAGTGAGATGATAGCACAGTGAATAATAAAGGCAAGTAAACACTCGATAGCGGTATCTGCGGGTTTAAATGTGCTGACATGAGTTGTAGGAGATCTTACTCCTTGATTTGATTTGTGGTCTTGCTTTTCTCTGTGAAACATAACTGAAGTACAACTGTGGGGCTTTTGCCACCCTGCGGTTTAACAAATACGTTTATATAGTGCGTGGGCCAGAGTTGTGTTTCCTCAGTCCCCTCTGCTGTGGTTACTTACACAATCTGCGGTGCCCCAAACTCCTGTTATTGGGCTCTCGTTAGTCCCTCGTTTTCTCTTGTGCTCTGTCTCCTTGTTGTATGTCGTACAACTTGGCTTATTTGGAGTTTTCTTTTCTCTTTCAATTCTCACTCTTTGCTGCTTTTCTTAGCAAGCTCTTTTTTTCTTGTTTCACATGTCTCTTCTTTTTTAAAATTCTGTTTCCGCTGTCCTCTTGCAAAGGAAATGTCTTCCCATTTAAACCATTCCCTGAAATTTCAGCATCATGCTCTGAATTGGAGTGGGACCCAGTGGTTTGCATGGAGAAACCTCGCTGCAGGGGTTTGACTGTAGGAAGCCTTACAGCTGAAATGGGGAGCGTGCAGGGCTGCTCAGTGGTAACTGGGAATCATAAAACAAGCTGTCGTGCCTCCCTCCGTACCATCACCAGTAGAAACGTCACAGCTGGAACGTGGCTGATAGTTTCATTATTGATGCGTGAGGCAGACTAAACTGTAGAGTCTTCATTGGCTGTGTATCTCCAGTTTGGATTATACAAAAGTTAAATTATTTTTCTTCAGGACCGAAGCAGATGTGACTCAGAAAATCGATGCCGTGCCCCACCACCCCAGCAGCACTTCCTGTTCCGGCAGTTCTGCCTGTTCCATAATTATGGCCTTTTTTATTCTCATCAGGACTCCTTCTGCTTCCCATATGCAAGAACAAAGCTATGGCTGAATACTTAAAAAGGACATACACAAGTCTAATAGGCACTCTGGCTGGTACATTGACCTTTACTGTAGGTTTTCTAAATCGTTGGCAGTAGCAATGAAACTTGGTCAAAATGAAGAAACTTTAGTGTTCAAATACATTTTAAAAAAACAAAACAAAAAAGGAAGAAAGGAGACCCATGGGAGAGTAAGTGGGATGTTAAGGAATGCCTTTAAGCTTTAATATACATTCAGCAACTGGTAGGTGCATTTGCTGTATTTTAGCTTGTAATTCTGCTCTTTAGTGCACACTAAATTCTTAAAAAAGACTTGCTACACAATTTTGCCTGTTTCACAGCTACATTTATTAATCTGCTGCAGGTTTGGATATGCACTGCCGTTTAACGGAGCCTCTCGGAATGAGAATAGCAGAGTTCCCTTTGAATCCTATGTTTGCAAAGATGCTTCTGGAATCGGGTAGGAGAAAAAAATAAATCATGTTTTCTTCATAGTCCTGTGATGAGTAGATGATAGTGCTGCTTGTAATTGTAGTGTAGTATTAGACATTTGCTAAACTTCAGACAAACTCTTGCTTTGTGTTGGTATGGAGTGTAGAAATTGGTTCAACTCAAAGACCTTTAGTAAATAATAAGTTCAACACATTTAAAATTCTAGTAAGTCGAACAGATTTGTGTTCTAAATTTCCCATTAAAAACATTCACTGTTATGCTGAAAAAAAAATCCAGGCATTTAGATATCTTGATTTTATATTTTTATAGTATATATTCTATTTATTTTCCTTTTTATTCTATATTGGGGTAGGTTGAATGGAAGAAGACTTCCTTTACTGAATTTCTCTGCTTATTCCTCAGGAAATTTTGGCTGCTCCCAGGAGATTTTGACAATTGCTGCCATGATGCAGATTCAAAATATTTTTGTGATCCCTCCAAATCAAAAAGCTCAGGCTGTAAGTTCAGTCGTTTCTTATTTTCTTTTTGTTAATTCCACATTTTTGAATTTCTGCCAAATATTTTATCAGTAGCCATTGCAGGCTGCATGTTTGTATGAGAATGAAGAAAGGCCTTGAACTGTGCCTATGTTATAGGTAAAAGAAGAAACTGAGTAACAATAGGAACCTCGGAGATCTTTACTAGTGTTAAAAGCCTTCTGGGGACCAGAAACATGAAAATTTATAAACTAATATTGGTGAGCATAAGGGTTTGCAACAAAAAAAACAACCGAACCTCCCCAAACATCATCAAGAGGAACAAGACAGGAAGCATTAGGGTGTAGGAAATTCTTAATAGGTGGCAAGAGCTTATTTTAGTGCATCACTCACTTGGATTTTGGAGGTTCATTTTCAGTTCATTTTTCTAATTTCAGTTTTAGAAGCGCTTCTGAATGTAGGTGGGCTAGCAAAATATTGCTGTTGCCTAGAGGAACTACCCTATACGGTAAGAATTTTAATAGTAATCAGGAAATACAGAGATGATAGGAGCTGAGCATGTTGGATGTGACCTTTCTTTGCAAAAATCAGTCTGTCTATAAAAATATATTTTTCTTCTTCTCCAGGCCAGACAACACCGAAAGTTTGCTGTGGAGGAAGGTGATCATCTCACTATGCTTAATGTTTATGAAGCCTTTGTCAAAGTAAGTCAGTTCACGGGTATGTGGATTTGCAGGAATGGGAAATACTTGAGGTCCTCAGTTCTGATTCTGGATGTTTTGGCTATAGCACCCCCAGAGCCAAGGCCATACCAAGTCCATTAAGTGATAATTCTGTTTTAAAAGATATTATCATAGTTTGTTACAGACCTTCTGTAGTTCCTCTGAATGGGGAATAGAAGGAATTTGGTTTGAGTCCAGCACAGAACTCTTGTGGGTAGACAACTGAATTTTCAAGGAGACTGAAAAAAACCCTGCATTTAATCTAGCAGCTTTTTTTTTTTTTTTGAATGCTTGTTGATCATCATATTCTCTTTTTCAGTGACCCTGTGTATTTACCCAAGGGTTTAACACCAGTCTTAATACTTCTCTGCAAGCTGAGGTTTTACTTAACAGTTTTGAAGACCTGCACTTATTTTGGAGAAATATATCTTGCTTGTATAAAGGACTTTTATAATAATACATTTGCAGCTGTGTTGAGCTGAGCAGTATACTGAAGCAATGGTTACTTAAGTGTTTAAAAGACTACTTCCCTCTCCCCAACCCCAAAGCAGTCAGTGGGCATCAACCCAGATTTTGCTGTTCAATTTTTTTATCTGCCTAATTTTCTTAGAAATAGACCAATGCAGAGGCTCTTGGAGTAAGTGCTGGCTTCTGAAGAAATAGTTCTTTTAATAGAGAAGACAGGGGAAAACAGTGTGCAGAAAAGATTGTTTACGTTTGGAGACTGAAAACAGACTGATTTATAATATGATGCTTCTGTCTGTGAGAATGCAATGACTGATGCTGTTCTCTTTCACCACATAGGAAGAAATGAAGCATGTCTGTATGAAAATACCCCGTGGCATTTGTTCTGCTGCTATTCAGATGTCTGAAATGTGTTTTGTAGTTACTGGTGTTATGTACCCTTGTTAGTTGCTATGTAAATAGGCAATTTTCAGGGAAAACCACAATAAATGTGCTGTAGGAGGTGGAATTAAAACAGAACAAGGCTACGTGATCCAAGAGGTTGGGTTTTGTTTTGCCGATGGTGTTCCATCGTAATTTTTTCTATTTTTCTCCCTGTACAGCACAGCAAGAGCTCTCAGTGGTGTCAGGAACACTTTCTGAACTACAAAGGGCTTGTTAGAGCTTCTGTTGTGAGAGAGCAGCTGAAAAAGCTTCTCGTCCGCTTTAAAGTGCCAAAAAAGTCCAGTGAAGGTGAAGTGTTTTTTTTTGTTTTTTTTAAACATGTTGTCCAATACATGTTGAAGCTAGTTTCCAAACTGTCACTCTGCTTCCTGCTTTTCTTGTAACCTTTAAAGTATTTTTCCCTGGCCTAGAAATAATGTTAATTAAAACCAGATTTTTTTTTTTTTTTCCTTAAAAGTGACCGAAGAGCAGTTTAGCCCTTTTTCACAATTAGCATTTAGTCCAGTCTTCATTAGTTATGGTTCCCAGCAAGACATTATCACGTTTGGTTATGTATTTAATGGACAGGCTTAGGAAAAGTGTCATAAATAGGTCACCTTATTCCCGCTTTTGACTTTTCAGAAGTTTTAGCTCCAAAAGCTGTTTTTCTAGCATGTGGTCCATGGGATGTGCTTTCCAGCTGTGCTGCGTGTGCATGGATGCCTTGAATGCTTCTCAGCACTACTCAGTCCCTAACTGCTCTGAAAAATCAGACTTCGGTGCTTAGCTGTCACACAAGGTTGCTTTTAAGGACTGTGAAACTATTTTCTTGGAGACACCAGTGGCAACACTAGTTTTTTACATAGTAATTTTGATTTGCTGTGAAATTGAAGTCACAAGAGATTGCAGGGTTTGTCTGCCTTCAAGCCTTTGCTCTCAAAGCCTGATGCGGTGTGAAAAGTTGTTTGAGATGATTAACTGGTATTTTAGGGACTCATTTTACATAAAAATTCTTCTCTTCAGGTGATCCAGATCCTGTTTTGAGATGCATAGTTTCTGGATTCTTTGCTAATGCAGCTAAATTCCACTCTACTGGAGCATACAGGTAAATTATATGTAGCTTCGTTGTATCTGTTACGTAGTTTCAAAGCTCCTTTGACTGGATACATCTAAAGAAAATCAACAAACAGATGCCTCTCTAGACACCTGCAATAAGAAACACATAGTGTTTGATTTATTAAATATCTGGAGCCTTGTATCATCAAACTGCTTGAATGTTTATCTCTTCTCTTTGGCAAATACGAATAATTAGAAATATTGGCAATGGGAAACTGTTCCTAATAGTAATTAGCTTGTGTTAATACAAGCAAGTACAGGGTTTCTGTTGTAGCACTCACAGTGCACTGAATGAAAGCTTGAAATGCTTTTTCATTTAATGTACATAGAACTCTTTCAGGACATTAAATTATGATTTCTTCGTTTGGCCAAGTCTTAAGCCTGGTTTCACCTGAAAGTCTGTTCATTAAATGCAAATGTATTTAATATGCTCTAGTTCTTTCATTGCTGCCTTTTAATACACTGGGGGTGAAAGGGACCAAATGTGAAGCAGTAAATAGCTGCGTGGTCTGAAGTAGTGTCTTGCTTTCAAGGACTATCCGTGATGACCATGAACTTCATATCCACCCCACTTCAGTGCTGTACGCAGAGAAACCTCCACGCTGGTAAGTTAAAGCTTTCTGCTAACATCCTGAAGGAAATTGGGTTATGGGAGAGTGACAGACAGTAAGAAGAAACAATTGGGAAGAAATTAATCTGAAAAGAAAGTCTGGTAGTAGGAGAGTTGTTTGCTCCAGCACACACCTCCTCCACAGATCATCTTTTAGATGATGAGCCCTCAGCGCAGAATTTCCATCCCAGCTTTGGACACTTCCAGACATAGAGAAGAGCAGAACTGTGCACAGTTCCCTGGAAGTCTTCACTGGCAAAACCTGCTCTTTGCTTCACAGCCTGTTTGCTCTTGGTGGCAACAGCATTGCTGGATTTTTTGGGAGTACCGAATCTGGGCTGAAATCTCTTTCTGGACCCCCGTGTTGCAGAACGGGCTCAGAACGGTTTCTGAGGCCATGTGGTATTGCTGCTGCCAGCCTGAGGGGGCTGCTGGCCCTTGGCATCCTGTGAGACAGGACTCATATGTACTCAGCAACTCAGGTTTCAGTGCTACTGCTGCCTGGACACCCACCCCACGTTGAGGGCTTCAGTTCTCTCTCTGTTACAGGTGCAAATAAAACATGTTTTCTTTTTCTTTTTCTTTTTCTTTTTTTTTTTTCCTTCAGATTTCTCTGTGTTGTATTAGTTGGTATGTCTTTGGCTGCATTTTGCAGACAAGGGCATTTTGGACTCTTTCCTCTTTGTTTTGAGAGCAAAATATCAATTAGAGACCACAAACCTCGTGAGTTTGCTGTCCTACTGCGTACAGAAGGCAGATAATGACTTACGGTTCTGGTGACTAACCCTTCAGCGTGTGGGATTGCGCTTCCTTGGTAAAAATTACTTTCTCTGCTGGAAGGTGGCTTCAGAAATTGGCTGCCCATGCTGGCAATGGGTTTGTGCTGGCAGCGGGGATTGTGTCCACATAGGTGTCTGTTTTTAAATCTCTTACCAGGAGATGTTCCGGCAGTAGTTAAAGCTGATTTCTTCCTCTAATGCTTATTTTGCTTGTCTGCACACAGGCACCAGGGATAGTCATGCTGCGATTTGTGCCCTGCTTGTTATTGGTCCAGGGTTTTGACATCCTTCCTGATGATACCACAGAGTGACTAATATTCGCTTTTCCAAAGCATCTGTTAGGATTCCTCCTTGACCCCACTTTAAGAAATATTCTTTCTTTTATACCTCGTGTCCATATGTGCTGGCAGTATGTGAAGGTGTTTTTAATGGAAGTGGAAAGGTGGTCTTAATTTAGACTACTCTGACCAACCAGAGGGGAAGGGGTAAGAGGCTGTATTATAATTTAAAGACTCTCTTGTCACTGTGTAAATACTCCCTCTGGCAGCAGATTCCTTTACAGCAAACACTTTTTTTTTCTCCTAGGGTAGTCTACAATGAAGTCATACAGACTGCTAAATATTACATGAGAGATGTGACTGCCGTTGAATCTGCGTGGCTCTTGGAACTGGCACCTCATTTTTACCAGCAAGGAACGGTACGGAATCGGCATAGAGCCCAAACGGTACCATTGCTGTATTAGCAGCTCTTGTATCTGAACTTTTTAAGTGTTTATGTTTTGTTGTTGTCTGTTTAATAGTACAAAAACATTTTATTTTTTTCATTGTAGTGGTTTTAATACAAAGAAAAAGGAAAATAGATAGATGTATGAAAGCTTTTCCCCTGTTATCCAGCCAACAGACATGATCTCAAAGTTAAAAACTAATGGACCACTCTGGTAAATGAAGCCTTAAACCATTTGACTCTTGAATGTTGGCACTTGGTAGTGCTCCTCTGAGTAATACTATAGCTAAGCAGTGGTCACACTTTGCACCATGATTTTGTAAGAGTCTTTGCATGCTGTGCAAATGTTTGTGCAAATCCTGAGTCCTTTTCTGAGCATTAATTAGATTTGCAAAAAAAATTTACTCCAATCTGTTCAAACTTGAAATGGTAAAGAGCAGCTGCTACTTATGCAAACCTTTACTGCAAATTCTGTTGTGTGTGATTACATACCTATTAAAAGATACACGTAAAGATACACGTCACCATCCTTTATCAAATCAGTCCCATGTGAATCTGTCCAGCCGGACTTACTCATTCTGAGAACTGGATCTGTGTTAAATATTATCTAAATCTTAGTTATAGTGGAGCTGTTGATACCACATTGCATGTAAATACTGTACAGGCAAGATTGCCAAATTGATCTTGCGTGTGAATTTCCCATGGGAGATGAATATCTATGGAGCTTTATATTCTAAATTAGTGAAATGTTTGCTTCTACAGCTTGATCATGGTCTCAGTCAGTTATGTCTCATTTCAGATTTTGCAGGACTTTCTTCAAGTTTTCATGCCACATTTTCATGGGCCCTTTTTTTGTAAGAGCATAGACGTTCAAAGGTCCAAAGCGACTACAGCTGCAGCGTTAATATATTGGTTAAAATCTTCTTCTTCGTGTACATACTCCTAGTGTTTATACCCATGTTGCTGGGAGCACACGTCCGTTTCTGTGAGTTTTTATAGGCTGGCAACTTGCTTCCAGCGGAAAATTGTTCCTGTGCTTGCAGTTAGCACAGAAGTACTAGAAGGTGGTATTTTATACAGATACACAGATTTTGGGATACATGTACTTTTTTTTTTTATATCATAGAATGGCCTAGACCTTAGAGATCATTTAATCCAACCACTCTGTCATGGGCAGGGGCGCCTCTCAACTAGATCAGGCAACACATGGGGACTGAGCAGGAATTGGACGCACGACCTTGGTGTTACCAGCACCACGCTCTAACTGACTGAGCTAACCAGCCCCCTTCCATAGGTTTATTTTAGCTACATCAGTAGCAAACAGAGCTGGGAAGGATGGTCTTTGATGTTTGTATAGGAATTTATTTAATTTAGAATCAAAGGCTGAAAGCGTTCTAGCTGAGTGTTTTTCTAACTGTATATATGCTAAGCAATTTTTCCTTTCTTTTCTTGCAGCACCTTTCCTTGAAAGCCAAAAGGGTCAAAGTGGATGACCACTGACGTGACGTGACTTAAGTCTTGTGACATCAGCTGCAGAACCTACCAGTGATTTCAAGCTGGCTACAGTCCATTCAGCAGTCAGTTCATTAGAAATTTGATCTTAAATCAGCTTAACTGTTTAAATGCCTGCCAGGATCTGTAGGGGTTTATGCATGACCAGTACATTGTAAACCTACGTAGAGCTTCCGTTGTGGTCGTTCTATTCTTTGCCGACTTGACCACTGCTGTTAATCTGGGCATGTTGCTCCTTTTAAATAGGTAGAAAAACCATTAGAAAAGAGTAAGGGGACACACAGGACCACAAAAAGCCTGAAACCTTCAAGAAGTAAACTGATTTCCTGGTGCGGTATGGCTGCCTTATGAGAGTGGGGAATAGGGTACCCTGCCTTCTGTTACCTAGAGCACTGTGACTACGACCGGCCAAACTGAGTCTGAGTCCTGACAGCAGGAGCTCAGGGCAATGAACCAACCCCTGAAACGCCAGGGGCAGCCATGGGAACATTGATTTCATGTTGGACCATCCTGAACTGGTGCAACTTGTGCTCCCGAGCAGTAAAAGTCTCTTGCCTGAGGTAGAGCTGCCCCTGGCTCCCTGTGCGGTAGGAGCCCTTCTGTAGGCAGCGCTCATTCGACTGTCTTGTTTCTGTATGTGAGAGTTACTGTTTGGGGAAGGGGAATAAAAAGTAGCTCAATATTTTTAAGAAGGATTAGTTTTTTGCTCAATCAGGAGACTGTACACATACACTCGCAAACAATTAAATTCACAAATGGAGCTTCACTTTTTTTTTTTTCCCCCCTAACAAGAGAAAAGATGTGAGCCTCTCACTCCTTGGAAATACCAGAAAATTTCAGCAGGGGTTTATCATGGAACACTGTCTTTTAGCCTCTGTCATTCAGAAAAGATTAAAGTGTTCCATACTTTCCTGTAAGGAGCACAGTCCTATATGTTTATTTTATTAAGCATCTGTTCTTTGCTGCTTGGGACTCTCCTTCATGTGTTACTGTAAGGGAACGGCGCCCTGAACAGTTGCTGCTTTAATCAGGACTCCATGGCTACTTTTGAGTAAGGAACTATACCCTTTTGTGTTTTAACAAGACAGCTTGGATACATGTATTTATTTTTTCCAACCCTATTAATATTTATTTTAGAAACACATTGTTTGAAAATTTTATTTTTGTAAGGCAACTGAATTGATGAATGTGGTTTTGGCGTGCTAACTGTAGTTTTATTTTCTTGTTTTTTTAAAAAAAGAAAATATGTAAATAGGCAAATATTTCTACACAAAACAAATGCCTTCCTTGTCACAGGACTGCCTTGAAAACTTTCCGGAGAGCTTCTTTACCTTCTCCCTTCCAAACACCTGCAGCAGGAACATGTTCTGTCATGTGCCACGTGTGGTCTGTTCAGTGCCTGCGTACTGACTGCCAGCACCCAGAGGTGTGCCTGTCTCCTTGGGTGGCACCAGCAGCACGACAAACCGTGTCACCTCCTGTGTTCTTTTCCCGGTGAACCTCACCGTTGTGTTCCTCTCTCTCTTAGAGTGGAAGCTCTTTGGGGCAGGGACTATCTCCTAGCCAGAGCTCAGAGCAGTGTTGGCACGTACTAAAAAGATGTGATTTGCAAGTTGTATTTTTTTTCTCTTAAAGGATTGGAGAAAGAACTGCGTATGAAGACTTGTGCAATGTCTATGTCTCTCTGTCCTCTGGAAGTATTCTTGAGAAAAATAAAACCATTCAATCAAGGAAGCTTGAGAATGCATCACTTCAGCCTGAGTAGTGGGTGATTTCCCCACGTACTGGGTGGTTGTGCGGTGCTGGGCTGGATTGTGATGGCCACGTCGTCAGTTCTGAGAATTTCGGGTGGTTATGGAGAGGTCTCTTCTCCAGGAGTTCTTTTACTGCACAGCTGCGAAATGTTCTCTTGGAATGACTGTAACTCCTGCTGAGTTCAGAACCAGGAGCTGTAAAAGCTTTGTAACGTGCTGCAAGCAGTTGTGCTTTTGTAAGAACAAATGCAATAGGCCTTTGTAAACAAAACCAGAAATTGAGACTTGTCTTTGCAGCAGGTTTACAAACTATGGAGGTATTGCCCGAGGTGCAGACACAGAACAGGCAGACTTTGTTACTCGTGATGCAGGCTAAGAGTAAGTGTTTCTAGTATCTGGAATAAGGTTACCTTTAGAGAGAAAGCCCTGCTTGCATCAGAGATGTGGACCCTTTGAAGGTGTTTGAAGACAGAGACACAGAACTTAAGAGCCCTGAAAATCTCTTTACTTTGTAAAATGTTGGCCTACAGCTCTCTGCTAGATGTGTACACAGCATTATGCTTTTAACTAACTTGGGTTAAGGGGGTGGGTAACTGCTCACTGGCGTTGGCTCTTTGCTGCATAAACAGCCTGTGTGCTGCCGAGGGGCACTTTGAAGGTGGTTGTCAGGAGTTTAGGAAAACAGTTTAATGATTTTGAAGCTGGCTTTTGGAGAATGAAGTTAAAATATTAGGCTCTTGAAATCAAAATGCTGCTTGAAGTAGATGTCATGCCACCACTGACAAGGATACAGGTATTTTTTTAAAAAAAAGTAAATTTACAATCCATTAATGTAGAAGTACTACAGGGGAAAAGGTGCTATACTCCTGAAGTCCATCAGAAAGTGCTGTCAGGTTTATGCTCCTGACTTTATTATTGTCAGTTACGGAATAAAATGAAACTGAATTGGAATAAAAATTCAGCAAAGACAATACTAACTGAAGTAAATTTCTCATCTTGTAGATGAAACATAATTCTGACAAAGTGATGGGAAAATAGTTATAACTCTTCCTGATTAATCTGAAGAAAGAGACAAGTAATTAAAAGACTAAAATGGAAATAAATAAGGGAGAGGTAATTGTCATTTCTCTCTGTTTATGGTAAAAATGGCTGTATAATAGGATATATAACTGAGCCATACACACAGCGACATTCTCTAAAGATTACATCAAAGTCATGTGATAGAACTGATTTTTAAGCTGAATTAGTTTTATACGTGTGTTACAATAAGCACGTTACAGACAGGCATGGAGGAGAAAAGTGGTAAGTCAGATAGCATGCGTCTTTAAACCAAAAAAGGGTGGTTTACTGGGATCTACCTGTGTGATTTGTTCTAGATCTGGTGGTTCAGATCTTTTTCTGGCTCCTGGGCAAGTGCAAACAGCAAATAGTTTCCTGTGCCAGCAGATGGGAAAACCGGACGGAGATGCTGAGATGGGGAGATTGCTGGAGCCGCAATTCTGCATGAGGAGGGCTGTAAGGTACTAGAATTGTTTCAGTAATTCCAGCCGTATTCTGCAAAGACACGACGACAAGGGAGGGCTCGGCCTCTCTGATTCTGTTGGGAGCCTTGGTGGTAGGGAAGGAGAGAGAGAAAAGGGCAGAGAAGCCGCTTGTCTCCTCCTCTGGTTGTGCTGGGCAGGTAGTTACTGAGCTGCTGGCTTGGTTGGTGGGAAACAAAACTTCCAGAAGCTGATTGGGAATTGATTAGCTGAGATTGTCCCCTTTGTGGGACTTTTGTGATTAAACCCCCTGACCGCCATCCCCAGAGCTGAGGAGCAGAGCGCTCATTCGTGGGGCAGGCGGGTGCCGACACGGGAGCGCAGGCACGGCAGGCTCGGTGCCATGGAGGTCACGAGAGGCTGGGCATGGGTGACCGCCCGGCCGTGCTGGTGGTGGAAGCTGCGGAGACAGGACGTCATTTTTGGATTTGAAAGGTGGTTCTGTCCTAAAATGTGGTTGTCAAAATCATTCCTAAAGTTTCAGCTGCTTTCTTCACCAAGGAAAATTAGCTGTAATAATTTCATAACCTTATGTTACTCTCTACCAAGTGACTGTGCTATCAAAAATTGTCAGAGAAAGTCAACAATAATAATACAGCCCAGCATTTAGAATAAATTCCTCTACCGGGACTTAGAATAAACAAGTTGCAAGATGAACATAACTGATATATAGAAAAACTGTCCTTACACTCAATTTCTGGTCTGTTCTCAAACTTACAGAGCTTTTATCCTTGAGAGCATGTACGGCTTTTTTCATCTGTCAATTCATAACTTTCTCTCTCTGTAAGCTTTCTCGAGAGACGTGTATTTTTGGCTTAAAACTGAGTGCATTTTGAGAAAGGTGCCAGTAGATGGCAGGCATCAGTTTCAAGTAGTGGTATCTTGGGCAAGAAATAATTGGCCAAGTCTTCAAAGTTTTTATTGTTCTTCAGTTTTAACGTTAAATTAGTTTAGTGATAAGTGGAATGAGAAAGGGTAAAGGAAAAAGTTGTTGGCGGCTGTGGGATAAAGTCAGTATTTGAAGTGCAGAGATTAGTGAAAAAGCCGAGTGCTGTGTGCCCCACTGGTTTAAAAACAAAGAAACTAAACGCCCCCCGAAAACTGAAAAATCCTGAGCAATAAATTCTGTCGTGGTTCTTTTAATTGCATATGGAGTTATAAAAATGACATCTTTACTGTAAACCAGTTTACTGAAGTCTCAGTCTAAGTTTGTGGTTCATACTGGTTATTTAGACCTTTCTTCTTGCCCCACAGCGGCATCCTCGCCGTGCCTCGCTTTCTAACTAAGCCAAGTGTACTGAAATGCTCCTCTAGTGCTCAGCTGGTGAAGCTGTCGTGGTTAAAACTCATCATTGACCTTGCTGATCTTCCTCTCTGAAATACTAGGAAACTAGCAAAGTGTCTCCTCAGAAAAATGTTGTAAGCATGTGCAGTGGACCTGCCTGGACAGGGTGCAGGCTGAGGTGCCCTGGTGTGGCAGCCCTGGGGTATGTGCTTCCTCGGGGACAACCTCCCACTTGGCTTTTATCACCTTCAGAGCAGCAGCTGTCCCGTCCACAGATTCTAGCCACTATTGTAATAACCAAAATTAACAGTTTAGGGCAAAAGAATCCTGTTCTGTTCGTGGCAGTGTGGTAGATGTGATTTCTCTCAGAGGATGTGAAAATGGCTGCTCCGTTCCAAAACTGTCTTTTGCAGAGCTGCAGTTTTGCGAGGCTACGAGATGCAGTGGCTATATTTAGCTGTGTTGCCAGTTACGAGAGATCAAAAATTGCCTGGGAAAACTCCCCTTTTCCTCCTTTCTAGAGTCATCATTACCATTTAAAACAAATGAATATATTTAATTAGGTTTTCAGTTTTATTTTCCTTCTCCTTAGGGGTTCCCAGAGTACAGAGCGGCACAAGGAGCACCACACAAGGAAAATCCCTGATTGCCCTTTCTGGTGGTTTCAGCC